GGGTCTTCATCGCTGTGCATGGGCTTTCTCTAGTTGCGGCAAGCGGGGGCTACTCTTCGTTGTGGTGCGTGGGCTTCTCATTGCAGTGGCTTCTCTTGTTGCGGAGCACGGGCTCTAGAGCGCAGGCTCAGGAGCTGTGGCGCACGGGCTTAGCTGCTCCGCAGCACGTGGGATCTGCCCAGATCAGGGATGGAACCCATGTCCCCTGCATTGGCAGGCGGATTCTTAACTACTGCGCCACCAGGGAAGTCCCTTCAAAGACTATTCTTTTCCCCATTGAATTGTTTTGGCACCCTTATCAAAAATCCAAGTAATTTTTAAAGCATTTGGTTTTATAGCCTCATATTCCCTGGCTTTCTGAATTTGTAACACAGTTACTGACTCCTACCTCTCAGGTTTCCATGGTTCATAGCCACAGATGCTTGAGATGGAAAAAAGATTGGGGCAACCCTGTATGTAACTTACTTAGCCTCGCCGAGTCAGGATTTTTCAAACTCCCTCCCCAATACATAGAGAGCACATGAAAGAAGGGCAGTCAACCCCTCTTACATGTGTTTCAGCCCCTCCCTTAATGATAGATATCAAAAGTGGCTTCATAAGGCTTGGGTTTACTCTCCCCTCAGCTTCCTCTCTAGCTCCCACAAGAATTCTTAGTGAAGAAATATTTCTGCTCTAACTCCTGCTTTACTACCCGTTTTTTTTTTTAGTTCTCAGATCTCCAGTCTTTCAAATTATACCCAAAAGGAGTCATTTGCAATTTTCATACTATATTTGAAGCATACAAAAGATAAATCCACATATACTATATTGTCCACACCTATAGTATAAAATCGCCACAAGGTGACCCACTGTCCGTAGGTAACTATTTTTTCTCTGTCCCCTTTGCACATTGCCCACTCACTCCTCAACCAACTCTGCACCACCCAACAGTTCTGGCTCCATTATTCTACTGAAACACCTCAGGCCCAGGTCTCAAGATGCCCGTGTCTAATGAACATCTGTCACGACTCAACCTTCTAGACTTCTTGAAGCAGCAAGTGACGCTGGACATTCTCACCTTCCTGAAACACCCTTTTCGTGGCATCTTTGAGGCACCTCCTTCGTTTTACGCCATATTCAGCCAGCTCCTCTACCCAAACATTAAATGCTAACATCCCTCAAGACTCAGTTCCAAGCTTTCTTTCTTTTTTTAATTAATTAATTTACTTATTTATTTTTGGCCGTGCTGGGTCTTCGTTGCTCTGCGCAGGCTTTCTCTGGTTGCAGTGACCAGGGCCTACTCTTCATTGTGGTACGCGGGCTTCTCATTGCGGTGGCCTCTCTTGTTGTGGAGCACAGGCTAGGCTTCAGTAGCTGTCGCACGCAGGCTCAGTAGTTGTGGCTCACAGGCTCCGTTGCTCCGCAGCATGTGGGATCCTCCCGGACCAGGGCTTGAACCTGTGTCCCCTGCATTGGCAGGTGGATTCCTAACCACTGCGCCACCAGGGAAGTCCCAAGCTTTCTTTTCTTCTCACTCCATATGCTCCCCGCCAAGAATTTCACTCTATTTTCAAGGCTTCAATGACCTAAGAGTTATCCCTGGAATTCCTTTTCCCTTACACTCAATATCTAATCTATCTCCGAGACTTATATATGTGATCCACCAATTCATGAACCTGTCTATTTTTCTCTGTCTCCATTGCCTGTACCCTAGTATAGGCTGTTATCATCTTCATTCACTCCATAAACATTTAGCACACTGGGGAAGCAATGAAGAATGAAACAGACACGCTCTCACCTGAGTTAGTGTAGCGGGCTCCTGGCATCTGCACCTGCCCCTCCTTCATTTTGTTCTGCTCTGTACAGTCAGAGTAATGTTTTCAAAATGCACGTACGCCAGAGTATACAATTCTTATTGCAGCCTAAAGGCCCCTTTACCTACCTCTCCAGCCTAACCTTCCACCTCGGTGCTCCAGTCCCACCAGCACTCCTTTTGTACCTGAAACGCTCCCAGGCTTGCTCCCACCATGCAGCCCTTTTTTGGACCTGCAACTGCTTGGAACATGCTTCCCTAGCCATTAACCGGCTTACATCCCACCTTCTCTCCTCATTCGCTAATTCTCAGCTCAACCACCTTTTCCTCAGGAAAGCCTATCTTAACTGCACCCCTCTATACACATTCACATGATGTTCTTGCTGTACTTAATTTACATTTTACTAGCGGATTACGTGCCTATTGTCTATTTCCTCCACTGGCCGACTGTCTACCTCACAGAGCAGAGAATGCATCTGACTGCTCACCACTCTATCCTGTCCACTGGCCATAGAAGGAGCTCAATAAATATACATACACACAGAGGGAGAAAAATGGCTTCTGGCAGAAAATACCAAATGTTTGCTTATTTACCACACACACACACACACACACACACACACTCCTTTTGTTTTTAAACAAAAGAAATACCCTGCCTCTAATCCAGAGCACCACTACCTACCCAAGCAACTGAGGAACCGCCTTGTTTTTATCACTACCGATTACCAGCACCTCCTCCTCCTGAAACAACATTCTCCTTCTCTCACAACTCACACAGGGCCTAGAGAACTGGGTGGTTTAAGTGGGTAGGAATTACCCTTTTTTTAACCATCCCAAGAGTACCTGAATTAACAAAAACAAAAAACTATTTAATCCAAATGAATGGAAAGATCTTAAACACCTCTCATTATTTTACTGTTAAAATGATGTAGATCTAGTCTCCCTCTTGGGTCTCATTTCCCAAAGGAAAAACTCGGTTCTTCTCGGGAAGAGAATAGAGGAAACAGATCTTTTGTGCTTCCTCTAACCACTCCCCCACACCCTGACCCCTTCCTGTAGTAACTTCAAGTTGGTTTTTTACTACAAGAAAGGTGTCTTGACATCTTTATAATAAAGATCTGAATTAATTTCAGTATAGTGTTTTCTATTTAAATATCTTTTATCTATGAAATAGGTTTGTCAAATCTCAGTTGCAGGTTTCCATCTCCCATTTTCTAAGATCCATGCTTCCGGATATGAGCTTTCAATTCCGTGAGTGAGTGCGCCCCATGGTTCAATGTAACTGTAAACATTTGCCAATGAGTCCGTAAAACGCCAGGGCTTTGGAGTCTGACACATCTGGGTTCCGAATTCCAGCTATGCCCGTTACTAGCTGCGTAGTTTGGGACAAGTTATATGACCTCTCTGAGTGACATTCAGTTTCCTCATAATAACTGTACCTCAACAAAGTTGATCTGTGATTTTAAAAGATGATAAAAGTAAAGCACTTAGCAAAATGTAAGTATTTCAATAAAGAGAAATACTGTCAACATCAGATAACGATACTCATCAGATAATCACAAAATGCAATTTGGGACAAAAAAATTCAACACCTTCCAGAGCTGAATCACGACAGCTGCTAATAACAACAATGAACAAGTACAGTAATTCAATGTTTCTTTCTACTGGTTGTCAACAGTGGATAACAAATAAGATATGAAATGAAGGAAAAGCAGAGTGGAAGGAAGAAAATGTAAAAAGCACAGAAGATTCACAAAAAATAGTGAGTCAATACTTGCAAAGTAGGCTATTACTTGCAGAGCTTTCCCAAACTAGGCCATGCTAAATTGGGGCAAAAGCAATGCTCTCCCTTATCATTTATTCTATTAGGACAACTAACTGCTCTTCCCTTTCCATGACCTGTGACCACACCCCCACCCCTGCTCCCACAATCCCCTCCTCCTCAGCCTGCCCCTCAACCTCACCCTCCAGATCACCCTCTCTATCCTTTTGCAAGGGCCTGGATCAAACGCCATCTCCTCCCGGCAGCCTTCTCTAATTCTCCCAGACTGTTATTAATCTCTCCCTCTCCTGAATTCTTTATCACTCCCTGGCCAAGCACTCTGGTTGTCTATGTTCATGTCGTCTCCCGTGCTTGGCTGTAAGCGTCTTGTAAGCAGGGTACGCTCTCACTCAAATTCTCTCCTCCCACAGAACTCCGCGCACAGCCTTGTACACAGTGACTATTCAATGATATTTCTAAAAGGAAAGAGTTGAGTTCTAGATATTGTGATCAAAGATGAAAAGCACCCAACTTCTGCAGTGGCAAGTACAATATTTACCAGAATAATAACACAGGGAAGAATGGAGGGAAATCAGGGTGTATGAATAAAACCGAAGTGCACCTTACTACTGAAGTTATAGATAACCCACCTTTGCTTACTAAAATCAGAAAATGTACAGCTAGAGGCTACCACTGAAAAAGTCAGCCTAACTCCGCCTCACTGTCCTTGGTCTCTAAGGATTTGATTAGTTTTTCCACTTTCTGATTCAGTGCTGCCTCGTGCCTCCACTCCAGAGCTGGCGCTAAGGCCTGTGATTTGGAAGGGATGATAAATCCATTCACTGAATAAAGTCACACTGTTTTCTAAGCACAGTTCAAAAATATTTCAAAGCCCATGATATTTCACTTGGCTTGGCCATTTGGGTTAAAATTTATTAGTCGAAACAGAAAACTTTCTCATCAGACCCCATACGTTCCATTAGGTGTGATATATAGTGTCTCCCAATGTCTAATTATTAACTAGAAGTGTAAGTAAATCACTATCAGTATTAGGCTCTAATGTGTGAAGACAGAGTAAGAATTAGGCAATTCGACTGCTAAAGAACTTCTTTTTGCCAATTTGCTTTTCCTTTCTTTTTCCTACACATAGAAAGAATTGTACAAGGACTAAGTGACTGCATTAAGCCACTCTTCCTAATCTATACCAAAAGTAACAATGTGCCAGGAGTGCTATTGTTTAGAACTTCCAACAGCCCCCATTTCCAGTATTCTGTCCCTTGGTCACCAGGCAGATGTCCTGGTGTGTGTGTATATATATATTTATTCTATCTATAAAAAAGGTGAGGAGAGGGCTTATATATCCTTTGGGACACCAGCTCAATCACTGACTATTTCTGGGCATTCTTTGGCAATGATTCTTTTTTTTTTTTTTTTTTTTACAATCACTGCTAAATAAACATTTTTAATATAGTAATGAGTCAATAAGGGAACCGAACCAGATTCAGGACTGAAATAATGCAGTTTTCCATGAAGATATCAAAGCCATATTTTTCACCTCAACCTCCAACATTTCACGTAGGTTAAGGACGTCCCTCAAGCATCTCTAAGCCCTCAGTCCTCCAACTTCTAACTCATGGCATTCTGCATGGCACCCAACTTCAGGAAAGACTGAGACGCCATCCTTCCGGGGAAACACAAGGCCGGATCCAGGGCTCAAACCAAAGCCTCAGGCAGGGGGTCCGCAACCCACTTTGGGAACCCCCAAAACTCTTACGCCCTAGACTCTCAGGAGGCCTGCTCAGGCCTGCAGAGGCTGACCGCAGCCCACCCGCCGCCGTTCAGTCCCAGAGGTACGGGCTTGGGGCTTCCCACCGGCAATGATTCTTTTAATGAAAGAATACAAACAATATATCGTTTGTACCGAAAGAATAAAGAGGGAGTCATTCAGAACTAGAGAAGATCTTACTAAAAAGGATTCACAAGTAAGAAACCAAAAGGGCAGTACTAACTTGTATTCTGTAATTATGTCCTTTAAGGATTAAAAGCCCAGCTGAAACAAATCTCAACCTCTCTTTCCGGGATTCAGACTCCAATAATTCTTCAGCCCCACCAGGATCGATAACCCATTGATCCTGCCACCTTTTCAGCATGCCTCCTCCTCTCCTCACATGCTCCCTTCTCTCCTTACTCAGGTGCACGTGATTCCACAGTCCATCAGGATAGTCACTCCTGGTCAACATCCTCGACTCCCCTGCACGCTGTCCCTTTGTCATACAGATTCACAATCCCTTGAGGATTGATGTGTCTTGGAATCCAGAACTTTTTCGATTTGGGGGAAGGTGATACAGTGTATATACCATAAACGTCCCAGTGAAGCCTGGGGCAGCAACCCGAAGTCAAACACATTAATATATTTATGCATGGGGCTTCCCTGGTGGCGCAGTGGTTGAGAGTCTGCCTGCCGATGCAGGGGACATGGGTTCGTGCCCCGGTCCGGGAAGATCCCACATGCCGCGGAGCGGCTGGGCCCGTGAGCCATGGCTGCTGAGCCTGCGCATCCAGAGCCTGTGCTCCGCAGCGGGAGAGGCCACAACAGTGAGAGGCCCGCGTACGGCAAAAAACAAAAACAAACAAACAAAAAAAACCCCCCAAAAAAATAATTAAAGACAACACAGTCCATGGGGGGAAAAAACCTAGTATAACCAAAGCTGAGTTCCAGATTTCTCCTCCAAACTAGCTTCTCTCACTGTTTTTCCCCATCTCAGTAAACAGCAACTTCATCTATCCAATTGCTCAGACCAAAACCCTTAAAGTCCTGGACACCTCTTTCCACACTCCACACACAATCCATCAGCCAATCCTGTCAGTTCAACTTTCAGCATAAATTCAGAGTCCAACCACTTCTCAGCAGTCCCTCCAAAGCATCCTAGTTCCAGCTACCACCATCCCCTACCCAGACTATCATGAGGGTCTCCTATTTCCTGTTTGCCACCCTGCCTCCTTAGAGTTTATTCTCAACACAGTCCTCAGAGTGATTCTTTAAAAATATTAGTCCAATCTTGTCACTCCTCTGTCCAAAACCCTCTAGTGGCTTCCCATCTCAATCACAGTGAAAGCCAACGCCTTACAGTGGCCTACAAGGTCCTTCAGAACCTGGCCTCCCATTACCTCTCTGGCTTACTCTCCTATCCCACTCTTTCTTACCTGCTCACCCCAGTGGCACTGGCCTCCCCGATTTTCCTGGAACATGCGAGCCTCCGCAATGTCTCAGAGACTTGGCACTTCCCATTCCCTTTGTCCCCAACGCTCTTCCCCCCAATACCTACATGGTTCTGTTGCTCGCTGCCCTCCCGGCTCTGCTCAAATATCACCTTATCCCCGGACCACCCTATGTGAAAACAGTAACCATCCCATCCCTACCCTAGACCCCCTTCTTTCATCAGTTTCCACTGCAGGGTCACACTATCATCCTGTCTCTAAGCTAGAATGAATGCTCATGAGGGCAGGACTTGGCTTTGTTCCAGCCCCTAAAAGAGCTCCAAGAGACCTTCCTGTGATGCTGGGAATGCTCAGTGTTTGCACTGTCCACTGAAGTGGCCACTAGCACATGTGGCTGCAGCACTTGAAATGTGGCTAGCATGACTGACAAACTGCATTTTCAACTTTAATTAATTAACTACAATTTAAGTAGCTACACGTGGCTAGCGGCTACTGCATTAGGCAGCACAGCCTAGAACAACAGTTACTCAATAAATATACAGTAGGTACTCACATATTTGCTGAATCAATTAATGGAAGAAAGAAATCTGAAGGCTTTTCTTCTCCTTAACTTTTTATTACAGAAAACTTCAAAACTACACAAAAGTTGGCTACAGCAAAATGAACCCTCAAATACCCATTACCAACCTGAATATGCTCTTTTTTTTTCTTTTCCTTTTTTTGGGGGGGAAGAAGGAAGGATTTATTATTACTTGCAGCAAGTAAGGAGAAGACCAGGGATCTTTCCCAAAGCAGTGTCTCCCTGAATGCTCTTCTTCTTCTTCTTCTTCTTCTTCTTTAATATTTATTTATTTATTCTGGCTGTGCCAGGCCTCAGTTGCGGTGTGCGGACTGCTTAGTTGCGGCCTGCGGGATCTAGTTTGCCGACCAGGGATCGAACCCGGGCCCCCTGCATTGGGAGCACGGAGTCTAACCCACTGGACCTCCAGGGAAGTCCCCTGAATGCTCTTCTAGTCTGAAATAGGTTTCAGTGGATACCGGCATCTCAATACTGGCTTCTAACAATGACTATATGCCTGGAAAATAGTGAATTTATACTATTATCCAGAGTTTATATCTAACAGCATCTCTTAGAGTCTTTTACAGGTTATTGAGACATGACTTTAGGAATTAGATCAGGTGTCTGTTGAGGGAAAAACCTGTGTGCTAACGAATGTCTGAGGCACATTTGTGATAAGACAACACTAGGCAACTACATGTACGTTTTTATATCAAGGACCTGATTGCTCTCTTGCACCATTTATTTTCTCCACTTAAATTTTACCAAAGTCATACTTTTCAAGAGGAGCTGTGTGACTATACAAAATTGAGGAGAATTTTGCTCTTGTTAGATGACACAAATTCCTTGGGCAGGGGTTTTCTCTTATTAGTCTTTGTAAACCTAGCATCTGGTACAGCAGTTGTTAAATGAATGAAGTTCATAATTGCACAAAAGTGGTAACATGTGAACTGTCAGAATGCAAACAGATACTGGATCTCCAATTTCCTAAACAGATACAAATCTGAAAAGGAAACGCTCAAGTGGATTTTTAAGTGTGTCAGATCAAAAGGCGGCAAAATACGCTAGAAAGAAAATCAAACTGGGAACAAGAGCACATGGGTTTCAATGTCCTAAATGAGGTGATCGTATCCCAGTCACTTACTTCCTCTAGGCCCTAGTTGGTAAAAAGTCAGTTTGGCATTGATGATTTTCAAAGACGCTATCTAACTTTACAGCAACTAGGTTCTATTCTAGATCTACAATACACATACATATTTTAAGATGCTTATTAACTTCCCCTTTCTATGCTAAGTCATGGTCCCTATAATTTACTTTAAAGGAGCTATACATTGAATATAATTTCACAAGGAGACTTCATGCCCACTTTAGTAAACATGTAGTGTTCCCCATTTCTAAAGTGCTAAATTCTTTACTTGGGTCTACTAAAATACTGCTAGAGTGCTGTGTTTAATTTACACTCAGCCAGCTGATATTGGGCTTATTAGTAGTACAGAAAAGGCAATTTTGGCCACATATTTGCCTAGTAAACTGCCAAGGTACCCCTTGTGTTCGAAAAGTTTCTTCGAGAGTTCTAAGCCAATTCTTATCTCTTTCCTAGCTGGCTCCATCAAATGAACTATTTTAGGCTTTGTCCTGAGGTTTTTTTACCTTTGTCTAAACGAAGCAGTAGTACTGAAGTCAGGCTCTGGTGTTTTTTAAAGCAAGGAAACTGAAAGAAATCAGGGCCAGTCGTGTGTGCCTTCCCCTGACTGCCGTGTGATGAAATTTCTCAACCTTGTATTTAAAATGTGGCTTTTGGGCTCCTGTTCTGTGCAGCCTGCACAACTGTGAGCCCACGCTGGCAATCCAATGCCATCCGATGCCATCCAATGACGATGCTGATGCTGTATTGGGTCTAAACACTGACAGATCAACAACAGCAGCACAGGAACTAGAATGCATCTCAAATAAAATTCTTACACATGGTCAAAAAATAATCTTGTAATTATTAAAACTGAGGTTTAATTGGACAATGATATTGGTTTGGAGTTTGTTTAACACCTTTATTATGTCTTAAGAAATCTAACTGATTAACTCTCTTCTGTAACTTTTTTTTTTTTTTGGCTGCGTTGGGTCTTCGTTGCTGCACGCGGGCTTTCTCTAGTTGCAGCGAGCGGGGGCTACTCTTCATTGTGGTGTACAGGCTTCTCATTGTGATGGCTTCTCTTGTTGCGGAGCACGGGCTCTAGATGTGCGGCCTTCAGTAGTTGTGGCTCGTGGGCTCTAGGCGCGCAGGCTCAGTAGTTGTGGCGCACGGGCTTAGTTGCTCTGCAGCATGTGGGATCTTCCCGGACCAGGGATCGAACCTGTGTCCCCTGCATTGGCAGGAGGATTCTTAAACACTGCACCACCAGGGAAGTCCCTCTCTCCTATAACTTTAACTGTAACTTCAATCTTCAAATCTGTGTACTTCACATTCACGTCCTCTCTAAAGTCACCATAAAGGTCTATATGTAATAAATGTTATCAAAATTTTAAGAAACATCATCCACATCTCAAATAACAGCAACATTTCAAAGTCAACCTAAAAATAAAATACTGCTCTGAACAGAAGGAATCTGTTTTCCAACAACAAATTAAAAGCAGGAGGTTTAAATCAAACTTTAAAGCATACTCTTAGCCATCAACTGAACCACTGGAAAGATACATGCCAACAAGAACACAGTATTGCCTTAACCGTAGGAATGGCTTCACACATCCCTTATTCACACTACGACCTAAATGCATACTATTAAAGCCACGACATCAGCCGTCCGTATTAATCACTCACCAATTTAATTAAAGTAAACCAGCTTGTCAGAAAGCTTGCCTCTTCTCTATTTCTTAACATTATTGACTTTTAATAGTTCACTGAATTAGTAATTACTTGTTTATGGCATTATCAAATGTCTTGGACACAAAAGTCCAGCGTGTGGCAGGGTCAGTTACAGACATGTCCTGATGGCAAATGAAAGGAGAGATTTAACCCATCAAAGTGGCCATCTAAAGAACAGAACCTATTATGCCTTTCTCCAGACGCTCCTGGTTAAATTCAAAGTGACAGGACAAACCAGATCAAAACTAAACAGAGCTAGAAGCAACATACAAAATCCTAATGAACCCTCAGAAATCCAGGAATCAATCTGTCAATATCTAAGCTCAATTAGTCCTTTCAGAACAAAATACCTCACGAGGTAACAAGAAACTAGTTTGAGGTCTTGGCTATGAAAAGAATAAAACCAGTCACTTTACTGCACAGCATATTGCTAAGTGCAGTCATATCTCAACATGGAGATCTTGGGAGGATTAAATAAAGACGTGAGTCAAGTACCTGTCTACTCAGTCCAGAAGCTGGCACATAACTAGTGTTCAGTAAACGTTAGTCCTTCCTCGATCCTTTAAGAACTCAGGCCTATCAAGTCAAAATCAATGGATGGTTTAAAAAAAGCAAATCAAAACAAACAAAAACTTTAAATGGAGATATAGACAACACATCTTAAAAGCACTTAATGTGGGCTTCCCTGGTGGCACAGTGGTTGAGAGTCTGCCTGCCAATGCAGGGGACACGGGTCCGTGCCCCGGTCCAGGAAGATCCCACATGCCGCGGAGCGGCTGGGCCTGTGAGCCATGGCCGCTGAGCCTGCGCATCTGGAGCCTGTGCTCCGCAATGGGAGAGGCCACAACAGTGAGAGGCCCGCATACCGCAAAAAAAAAGCACTTAATGTTAAAAAAGTAGCAAATGGGATCGTGAAAATGAAAAATAGATACTGAAAACATTTCTGAATGGCTCATCCTTCATGGTCATTTGCAACCTTCATATTTTGTGAAATCATCTTCAGGGATGAGCTCTGACAAGAGCTAAGCCAGATGCAAACTGATTCCATCAGGGGGTGAGACTTGGCAATGTTTGCAGCCGGTGAAGTTTCCCTCCTGAAACCGTCACCACTGGGCACACTTAGGGCTTTCAACAACTCCAGTTTCCAAACAAACCAGTAACACAACTAGAAGGCTATTTTTTTCATTAGAATTGTTAAGAAACCAGGAGTTTAATAAATCATTTGCCTTCAAAGGGAAAAAAATTACTTTCTAACACACATAATATTTCTTCTGGTTCTAAGAAAATGAAGCTTAGCTATTTACTGAAAACTGTAATACTATAGTGAAGTCTTTTTATGGCTCACGAATGAAACGTTTAAGAAATAAAGGTATGTGAAGAACGGGACTTGGCCTAAGCAGTCTTGAGGTCAAGTACTAGTGCTGCCATTTACTGTATGACTTGCAGGAAGTTACTTAACGTCTCAGGGACTCAGGTTCTTGTGTGGTTCTTTTCAGCTCAAAAGTGGTATGATTACTTACAATATCTGATACTCCTCAGTGCCCCTCTCTCTCTATGTATATGCTTACACACACATACACATATACATGTACCTTTATTAAATAATGCAGACATATTCTTTAAGTTGTAGTAACTTAAGGCCCACTGTGAAACAAAGAGAGTGTGTTCGTGTTGGGTGTTCTGACCCTGAATACCATTCTCAATGGTGAGGGCATTTACAAAGGCTTGTGACACCTGAATTAACCAAGTAAGCCTTTAAACCCTTACAATGAAACATTAAAATTCAATGTGGCTATAATCTCTTCCTTACAAAACATGGACCCAAAGAGTCTGGCTTCAAGTATGGTTTCAAAAAAAAAAAAAAAAGGCAGATGTATTATATTCACCACCCAGCTCTTCCCTATGACCACATAAAAAAACACAAATGAAAACTCACAGGCCCATTGTAATACATTGTACCACTTCTGAATGCAACACTTAGCTCAGGCTTACTACCCTGACAAATAAAGGAAAGCATTTTATGAAGCCAATTTAATTGGGAGGTGACAGAAAACATACAGCCATTTTCTTCAGCCTTATCATTGAACTGGCTTCAGCTCCAATCTCTGGCAAATCCCACTCAACAGAAGAAATTAACCAGGTCAGCAGAACAGGTGCTACGTTGTGTCTGTCAAGGGCCTGGCATCACCACAATTACTTGCACACAATGAAGCAGTAATCTTTACAGATCATCTCTCCCAAGAAGCATACTGGGGAGGGGGAGAAAAACTGAAGGGAGGAAGGCAGGGTCGGGGCAGGGGGGATGGTAGTGGGAAGAAGAGGAATAGGAGGCAAAGAGAAAAGGCAAGAAAAGAAAATGAATGTGCAGCTGCCTTGCGGCTCAGCAGATGTCGGGATGTGATGTACGAGGCTAGGATAAGCTGTCGTAGCCTGCTGCCAGAGAGTGGTAAGTGATTAAAGCCTGCACACTTCTAAGCACCATATTTAGAATCTGCAGGGTTTCGAGACTTGCACCCATTCCTTGCTGTGCTGCCAGATGTTGGCAACTGGTCCAGTTCCTACTGACTGTGCATGGATGGCAGCAGTTGGTACGGCAGCAAAGCAATCTGGAATGCTTCCGGAGATGCTGTACATTAACAAGTGTCACCCATCATTCACCTTTACAGAAGGCTGAAACAACTCCAATTTGCTGCCACTTCCCTCTTGGGAAACAGCCAAGATAAAGTTGCACCTGGCAGCCCCATTTGTTTCACTCAGGTGTTTCAGCTGCCTTGCTGACCTCTATTAGTTTAAGTTTTAATTTAGATTAACCCCAGCACCCCAATTAACCAGCAAGGGTAAAAGCTAAGATGTGACTAGTCATAACTGAAATCAGAATTTATCAAAGTTAAAATTATTAATTGGGATGAAGGGCCAATCAAGTAATGCTATTTCTTTTTCAGCAGACCTCCAGGCCTAAAATATATATATATATGTAAATATATATATCTTTCAGACTAAGGATTGCCAGTAGAAGCAACTTCCCCCCCCAGTAATTTCAGTTTATTTTATTAAGCCTATTTAATTTATGATGCACTTCCCATTGAACAACGTACACTTCAATTAATGAAGACTGGAATATTTTTGATTGTCTCCCATGATCTCCCACAATTATACAGCATTAATATCCCATATCAGGTACTTCCTTAAGACACTCTAGAACAAAACAGAATCCCCTACTCTTCTGACAAATGGATATAATAAGAGAAGAAAAGGAAAAAAGAATCAGGACCTCTGACTAGGAACACCTGGGGCCACATCAATCCTCTTTCCTATACCCTCTCATCATTACTTTTGAGACTTACAGCAATAATTTTATTGAACATCACAGAGTGAATAGCAAGATTAATAAAAAGTCTCTCTTTTTTTTTTTTTAGGGCAAAACCAGAGGCATCCCCAATATAGAATCACTTGTCCTACTTGCTTCACAGGGTAATTTTCCTAAGTTCCTTCCTTCGTATTCCATATACTACACGGTACTGTCATCAGAGCTAAACCTCCAACAAGCACCTGTAAATTCTTCGGCAAAAGTTAACACTAAAAATTCAGCAGAGGAAAAAAAAATTCACCTTGATAAAATAATGGCTCAATCAAAACTGGTTCATCACTGCTGAGCAGCATCCTCAACTCTCCAGAGCTAGAGAGGGTACATCCTGAAGCACATTTCATTAAGAAGTATGACTTAACAAGAGACCCAGGATTACAGGAAATTATTTTAGTTCTTTAGAACAGCCCAGATGTTTAGTCTACCTTAACGGTCACCACCATCATCAAAAAGAGCAGCACGACAGCAGATCACAGCGTCAGGGAAAGAACGGGGGAAATGTTTGTGAAGAGATATTGAGAATGGGACTAGATTTCAACCTCTAGCAATTCTTTCTGTCTTCAAAGCACTACACTATTATTATAATCAACAGTAGCAGACAATCTCAATAAATATAAATACTTAACTGATGTGAACATGCACACATACACAGAAGTTTTAAGAGAATAGACTTAATAGGTTAATAGAACCACAAGTGCAGTTCAAGAATTCTGGGATCCCAGCCCTTCAGCTCCATATCCTTATCTAATAGTAATAGGACAAGAAACCAACCAACCAAACAAAATCCTCCATTAACATCATCAAAAGCTGCTGAGAGAGAATAAACCACCTGATGCAAAGAAGTTGAAACTGTTTTACAAATAATTCACAGTCTGCATCAACTAACAACATAGCTGTAGCTATATTCATTTCAAAAGGAAAAATATAAAAGTAAAGCAATAAATCCAGAACTACACAGTAAGTCAATTCTGAACACTAGAGTTCTAACTCCCTATCTGACTCTATCCTTCCAGAGTAAGCTACCTTTTGGTCAGAGAATTCTATCAGCTGTTTTAAAATGCTAAAGCCTGATTTATAACAAAAGAAAAGAGTGTAAAAATCATACCTGGTGGTAAAAGTCATCATCATCAAAGATTTCTTCATCCAGGTCCTTCAGGTGGGCACTGGCAGGGGCTTGAGGAAGGATCTCCTATATCAATGAGAAGGAGTGAATCCCAATGAGGTTACCAAAGTAATGCAGCTACTATAAATAATGTGTATAACAGTCAAAGCACTATTTTCCTTAAGATATAAAGAGCTCTTCAAATTAAAGAACAAGGACTTCCCTAGTGGTGCAGTGGTTAAGAATCCACCTGCCAATGCAGGGGACATGGGTTCAAGCCCTGGTCTGGGAAACTCCCACATGCCACAGAGCAACTAAGCCCGTGCACCACAACTACTGAGCCCTCATGCCACAACTACTGAAGCCCATGTGCCTAGAGCCCGTGCTCCACAACAAGAGAAGCCACCGCAATGAGAAGCCCACGCACCGCAACAAAGAGTAGTCCCCGCTCGCCACAACTAGAGAAAGCCTGCGTACAGCAATGAAGACCCAATGCAACCAAAAATAAATAAATTAATTAATTTAAAAAAATTGAAGAACAAAAACAATGCAATTGAAAAATGGGCAAAACATTAATAGGCACCTGACAGAAAAAAAACACAAGCAGTCAACAGTTATATAAAAATATGTTTAATCTAATTCTAATTAAATACATGCAAATTAAAATGAGAAGACACCATTTTTCACCTCTAGAACTGGCAATCTTCAGTAGGAAAACACAGCTGGTAGGATTGGAAATTAATGCAGACTTTTTGAGGCAATTTTACATCTATCAGGATTTAAAATGCATATTCTCTTTGATTTAACATTTCCACTTCTAGAAGTCTATCCATATGTTCACACAAATACAAAAATAAAAATGCTCAGGAATGTTTCCTATAGCACTGTTTCTAAAACTAGAGACAACATAAATATCCACTGTTCAAATAAATTATAGTACACATCCATACAATGGAATACTCTAGCCATTAGGAAAAATGAGGTAGATCTCCATGTAATGACATGGAAAAGTATCTAGAATAATTTAGAAAGTTGTAAGATTTTACATATAGTTTATAACATTTTATATATTTATACACACACACATATATATATCCAACCCATTTAGTTAAAAAAAGACAACCATATTTTTGTAAGTGCGTACGTGTTATATGCATGCGTGTGTATGTGTGTGTGTATTTATATATATAAATAGAAAATACCTGAAAGTGTGTTACAACTATGAACATTGGTTAAACCTGAGGAGTGGAGTTTTTAGACTAGGGGGAATTTTACTTTTCATTTTAAATTCTTCTGAACTTAAAAAATATATTAAGTATATATTCCTACTATAAATAAAAGAGTTTCCTTTAGACAGAAGAATCTGCCTATTTCAATTCTGGATCCTCTTCTGGAGCATCTAAACATCCAAAGGAAAGCCTAAAGTACACGCTTGCTTCGATACTGGCATTTCTAAAGAAAAAACTTTAAAACTGAATTTAAAAAATTGGATTACAGGGCTCCCCTGGTGGCACAGTGGTTAAGAATCCGCCTGCCAACGCAGGGGACACGAGTTCGAGCTCTGGTCCGGGAAGATCCCACATGCCGCGGAGCAACTAAGCCCGTGAGCCACAACTAGTGAGCCTGCACTCTAGAGCCCGTGAGCCATGACTACTGAAGCCCACATTCCTAGAGCCTGTGCTCTGCAACAAGAGAAGCCACTGCAATGAGAAGCCCGCGCACTGCAACGAAGAGTAGCCCCCGATCACCACAACTAGAGAAAGCCCGTGCACAGCAACAAAGACCCAACACAGCCAAAAATAAATTTTAAAAAAATATAAATTTATTTTTTAAAAAAAATTGGATTATAAATGCTTCCATGACCAGACTCAGATCAAACTCAAAATTAAGAGAAGGCTACACACAATAATAGCTTCATTTTTAAAAAACTTTCCCCTCCCACATATCCTCAGTTTCTCAACAATCTAGGAAAATAGTGCTTTTTTCCCTTTCTTTCACTGACTTCTTATACCCAGAGGAATACCTACAAGGAGATGATAAGATTTTTCAGTTGATTAGCCTCCTAGAAACTGCTCCCATAATCACCATGCATCACAGTTCTTACCGGCTGTCCTGGCAAACTCTCTGGGACAGGCTGGGCTGCCGGCTCAGGTTTGCCAAGAACTCGGTAGATAGAGCGCTTGGTCTGTGTCCTTCGAAGTAATCTTTCTTTGTCCATCAGAATATGATCAATCTGAGTCAAGATTGAACGTTCAAAGGCACCAAAACCCTGCAACAACATTAACCAGTGTCAGATAACATGGAAAGTCTCTGCTGAAGGCAGCTACGTTGGTTTCCCTATTTTTCTGTGTCAGCAGAGAAACAGACAATCCTCCTTCCAGGAGGGACTTTCTGTTAAAGACCGAGTTTGTGAATGGCTCTAACTGTTCTCAGAAAAAAAAAAAAAAAAAAATTAGTCCCTAAGCAGGTCATATTAGTTTCCTATACCCAGAGATTAACCTCTGCTCCTTTAATAATAATTGTCTTAAAGTCCATTTCTTTAAAGTATTTGTACTTCCAACACTTACAAGACCACAACTTCTAGAATAAAATACTTTTTCTAATAAAGTTGAAATCCCATGCCTGAATGGTATAAACCCCAATGGATTTGGGTTAGGGTTAGCGTTAGGGTTCAGTAAATTTTTCTACAGAAATGACTGATTACTATGACACTGAGGCATCATCCATATAAGGGAGCTGTACTTCCAATTTCTCACAGCTGCTTCAGGTTGCCATGACCTGCCTTACACACATGAATGCACACACTTGCCTTCCCCAGTTTTCCAGAAGCCAGCTTGGTCTTATCATGCCACTTCTGGAGCGTACGGTTCCTGTAGACGGTGAAGTCGGCGAAGCGCTTCGCTATGAAGCTGGGGTAGTCCTCAGTCTCCAGCTTCCTCTTTGCTGGGGCCCTCCTCTGCTGCTGCTGCTTCTCTTCTACGAGCTCTTCATCTTCACTGGAAATCTCCTCCTCACTGGAAAACCAGTAAGAACACTGAGTCCAATGTAAATAAACGTTACCTAAATAAAAACTTAGGCGTGGGACTTCCCTGGTAGTGCAGTGGTTAAGAATCTGCCTGCCAATGCAGGGGACACGGGTTTGAGCCCTGGACTGGGAAGATCCCACAGAGCAACTAAGCCAGTGCGCCACAACTACTGAGCCTGCACTCTGGAGCCCACGAGCCACAACTACTGAGCCCTTGTGCCACAACTACTGAAGCCCACGCACCTAGAGCCCACGCTCCGCAACAAGAAGCCACCGCAATGAGCAGCCCATGCAACTGCAACTAGAGAAAGCCCACACGCAACGAAGGCCCAATGCAGCCAAAAATAAAATTAATTAATTAATTTTAAAAAAACAAAAACAAAAAAAGCCTAGGCCCACATGCAGTCAAGAGTATTTGGGCTTTCCCTATGCTGTCTGCATCTTAAATAGCACGGGAGACGTGAGGACGGCTTTTTTGTTGCTGTTGGAAGAAAACGTTCGTGAGGTCAAACAAAAACTCGTGTATCTTTTAAAATAAATATAAAAATAGATGGTTTCAAAATATTTTTTAAAAAGTAAGCCAACTATAAAAATAAATGAGGTTGTTAAAAACATTATTAGAAATGCACATGAACCAGGCCTATACTGCTACAGGAGGGTCTTTAAAAATTAAACATATAATCATACTTTTATGACCTCAATCCCCAAATCAAGAAGGGAACTATGTCTCCCTGTAACCAACTACTCAGGAAAGCTGAGTAATATTGGTTGAACCAAACGAAGAGAAGCAGAATGTGAAGAAAACTCAAAGGGGTAGGCCACAGAATCCAAGCTAGGCTGTAATATCCTCAACTGTGTGAGAGAGCACTAGAGCCTACAGCTACGGAGCCAGCTACACTGCCTGCACTACCGACCCCAGCGCACAGGAAGTGCTTACTAAATGTGAGCTCCTCTCCTTTGTCATTCCAACTAATTCAGCAGAAAGGTATGGAGCAGAGGGGAAGCCCAACGGAAAACAGCAGGCAGGTACCCTATGCAGCAGGCTCAAACAAAGGGGGGAGGTAGAGGAGAACCTTCATCAACTGTGATAATTTCAGGAAGGGAAAAAATGTTTTCTTCTACTATTTCCTGAAATTTTTCCACCCTTCGCAATAACTGCTTCTTCCTTCACTGAAAAGTCGACAGTTATGACTGGCAATTCCATGTATGGGCAACAAAGTGCTTCATAAACATTAATTAAGCGTTCATGTTAAAAATGTGCTTTCACCTATAATCTCACTAGATCTAAAAAGAAGGCAAGATTTTTGCAGAAGCTTACAAAGAAGCTTAGGCACAACTATGCATAAAAATCCAAAACCTAATTCCCAATTTATGTGTCATCCTGGCCACCAATTAAACATAAGAGGCTCTTTCTATTTTACTAACATTAAGTCCGGTATCTGCCTGGAAAGGACGTGACTTTCTTTTTCATAAATAATGGGAAACCATTCAGATGAAAAGAAAATAAGCAATTCCATAGTTCCATTCCCTCCTTACCTTTCTGCTTTGGGCTTTGTCCCATCTACTAGATATCTAGTGTCTGGATACTGGAAAAGCAACTCTTCCTGAAGATCTACCAATGACCTCAACAATGCTTTAAGTGCCTTGTGACCTGGGAAATAAAGCAGAGGGAAGGAACAGTTAATTATCTACAGTTCTCCAAAGTAGGTGATGCCTATGACGCTGGACTCCTGAGCAGTACTGGCTGAGGGGGTGCGCACAGGGTACGCCGGGACTGAAAACTCTCCGAAATACAGAATTCCTGAAAGGAAATAACAGTGCCTACCTCATAGGGTCGTTGTGAGGAACAAGCAGGGTAACAGTGTGTAAGGTACTTAGAAGAGCGTCTGCAGTAAACTGTGAGTTCTTAAATTTAATAAGTTTGACACACTCCTTCCCTGCCTGTCATCATAACCAATAATTTTTTTCCTTTGGTGTTTCTTTCTCAGATATTTTTCTACAGGTTACCCATTGACCTCTTGGATTATCCCTTTACTGATCAACTCCTTAAGCAATTCCTTCTCTTCTGAAGAGCACAGCTTAGTCCTGGGGTCCCTACCACCACCACCACCACCACACCCTCCCCCAGGAGATCTCCTTTGCCTCTGGTGTGAGCTACACACCTCACACCAGAGGCAAAGGTGTGAGGTGGTGTGAGGTGGTAGGGTGTGAGGTGTGAGGTGGTGTGAGGTGGTAACCTCATTCATTCAATCTCCCAACACATACCCTTAAGGAAGGTTCCAGTTCACGAATAGAAACCCAAGTTAATGACTTTCTGTTTGCAGTACAGTCAGCCCTCGGTATCCTCAGGGGATTGGTTCTAGGAGCTCTCCCCCAGGATAACGAAACCCATGGATGCTCAAGTTCCCTATATGAAAGGGCCTAGTATTTGCATGTAACCTACACGCATCCTCCCACATACTTTAAATCATCTCTAGATTACGTACAACTAGTACAATGTAAATGCTATAAAAATCGTTGGGAATACTATGTAAATAGTTGCTAGAGTGCTGCAAATTCAAGTTTTGCTTTTTGGAACGTTCTGACATTTTTTCTTTCCAAGTATTTCTGATCCAAAATTGGTTGAATCCACGGATGCGGAACCCAAGGATATGGAGGTTCCATTGTACTGAACTGTGTATTAAAATTCTGCACACCAAGAATATGTTCTCACCTGATTCTCCTCACGACCAAAAGGATGCACGTGTAATAAAGCTGGTCAGGATTAAGTTTAAAGTCTATGACCAAGAACTTTCAGAATAAAATCTGGCCCGCTGAGAACCAAACTCTTACCTTCTTTATCAGCAAAATCCTACTAAAGGGGCTAAATAGACGTGGATAACTACTAGTTAAGTGTTGACAGCACTCAGACATCTCGCTTTATAATCAAAACTCCCATTTCCAGCAACTGCCAAGAAAATCTTCACATGGATGCCCCATCACTCCCTCAAACACCATGTCAGAAACAAAACTTTTTTCCTCCAACCTAATACTTCTCCTTTGTCTGATTCTCTCACCTCTGTCTAATGTTTTCACAGGAGATCACTGACATTTTGGAGCCCTTATTCAATATGTTCAGTCAGTTGCTAAATCCTGTGGTTTCCATACTTCCTATCACTAACAGTTGTCCATCTGTCTCTGGCTATGCTTCGATCACTCCTTCCCACTTTCCTTTAAGTAACTGTAATCTTCTCACAAGCATCCTTACTCTCATTTAGCAATCCCTACATTCATTTTTATTTTATATTCTAGACTAACCTCAGCCCACACGAACTTCAGTTTAAGTGATTTTTATGAATTTGATTCTATCTCTTCGGCTTCTACCTTGCGCAGCATGAGTAGCTTCCTCACTATTTTACATCTCAACCTATTTCATCAATGGGACACCAACACATGACTCAGACAAGTTCTCCAAACAGATCACACTGCAGCATTCCATTTCAACATACGGCTAAGAGCTTACCTGAGAAAGCCTCTGCAGATTGGTCAGAAGGAACTCAATAACCCAACAGCTACTTTGCATTCCTCCAATAATCTCCGTATAAGACTATACAGGGACTTCCCTGGTGGTCCCGTGGTTAAGAATCCGCCTTCCAATGCAGTGGACCTGGGTTCGATCCCTGGTCAGGGAACTAAGATCCCACAGGCCTCGAGGCAAGTAAGCCTGCGCGCTGCAACTACCAAGCCTGCATGCCCTGGAGGCCACACGCCACAACTAGAGAGAAGCCTGAGCGCTGTAACTAGAGAAGCCCGTGAGCCACAATGAAAGATCCCGCATGCCACAAATAAGACCCGTCACAGGGACTCCCCTGGTAGCACAGTGGTTAAGAATCCACCTGCCGGGCTTCCCTGGTGGCACAGTGGTTAGGAGTCTGCCTGCCGATGCAGGGGACGCGGGTTCATGCCCCAGTCCGGGAGGATCCCGCATGCCGCGGAGTGGGTGGGCCCGTGAGCCGCTGAGCCTGCGCTCCGCAGCGGGAGAGGCCACAACAATGAGAGGCCCGCGTACCGCAAAAAAAAAAAAAAAAAAAAAAAAAAAAGAATCCACCTGCCAATGCAGGGGACACGGGTTCAATCCCTGGTCCGGGAAGATCCCACATGCCGTGGAGCAACTAAGCCCATGCGCCATAACTACTGAGCCTGCACTCTAGAGCCTGCAAGCCACAACTATTGAGCCTGTGTGCCACAACTACTGAAGCCTACGCTCCTAGAGACCGTGCTCCGTAACAAGAGAAGCCACCGCAATGAGAAGCCCGCATGCAGCAACGAAGACCCAACACAGCCAAAAAAAGAAAAAAAAAAAAGACCTAATGCAGCCAAAAAAAATAAATTAATTAATAAAATAAAATATTGTTCTTGTAGCCAAAAAAAAAAGGACTGGGGCTTCCCTGGTGGCACAGTGGTTGAGAGTCCGCCTGCCAATGCAGGGGACATGGGTTTGTGCCCTGGGTGTGGGAAGATCCCACATGCCGCGGAGCAGCTGGGCCCGTGAGCCATGGCTGCTGAGCCTGCGCGTCCGGAGGCTGTGCTTCGCAACGGGACTGCAGCGGGAGAGGCCACAACAGTGAGAGGCCCGCATACCGCAAAAAAAAAAAAAAAGGACTATATAAATACAACTTGCTTATTTAAATGTAACAGAAGATCCTTGACCACATCTTTTCTAAATTCCACATTCTAATACTTTTATAATCAGTACATATCCACACCACTTGGGAGGACCTGCAATACCTAAATATTACCTGAAAAAAATCCAAAATGCCTTGTGTTCTAAACCCAGGTTCTCCACCTGTTACTCTGAATCTTAACAAAACAAACAAACAAAAAAACCTTTCCACCAAATATAAAAATAAAAAGTTACTCTCATGAAGAAGAAAAAAGTATCACAGAATTATTCTTCGGACAGTTTTGGGGAAATGGATTAGGCACAAACAAGATGAGAAGTAGGCAAGAAGAATAAAAAGAATAAAGATATAATAATTTTAAAAGAGAAGAATTACTTTAAATGTGCTAAGTGTGTAACTAGGATAATGCAAAATTATGTATATAAACATGTAAATTTTTAAAGTAATGAGGAAAGCAGAGAATACAAATAACTACAAATATTAGGTTACCACAAATGATCATCTATGAAAAGAGCTGAATATTATAAACAGAGATTCCATATAGCTAAGGTTCTGAAAGTTATGTTACAGCCAGAACCTTAAGAAAATAGAAGAGACACTAATACTTGGAAGGAAGCCCATGAAAACACCGAAATCTCCTCTCATCCAAATTCTGTGCAAATATGAACCATTGTTTTTACCTCCTTTTCTAGAAACAGCTACATCTTAAGAGAGCCCATGTTCTCCAAAGTGAAACTACAAATCAATTTTGCATTTGCAAAGTAGTCTTCAAAATTCCCAAGCCTAAACCTTGAAAATATTAGGCTATGTGAAATAAGTCAGTTGCAAAAGGACAGATATTGTGTGATTACACTTATATGAGATATCTAAAAAAATGGTCAAACAGAAAATAGAAGGGTGGTTACCAAGGGCTGGGAAGAGGTGGGAATGGGGACTTATTGTTTAATGGACACAGAGTTTCAATTTGGGATGATGAAAAAGGTTTTGAAATGGACAGTGGTAATGGTTGCATAACAATGCAAATGTACTGGCTACTGAACTGTACACTTTAAAATGGTTAAAAATGGTAAATTTTATGTCATATCTATTTTACCACAATTTTTAAAAACACCTTAAAAAAACCCTAAGACCAAAGTAGTAATAATTCTACCATCCCAGTCTATCTCTCTACAGAAAAAAATCGTCTACATTCCTTCAACCTGGAGCCTAGTCCAAAAGAACAATGGAATATTATTCAGCCTTAAAATGGAGAGGAGGAAAAAAAAAAAAAAAATGGAGAGGTGGGCTTCCCTGGTGGCGCAGTGGTTGAGAGTCCGCCTGCCGATGCAGGGGACACGGGTTCGTGCCCCGGTCCGGGAGAATCCCAGATGCTGTGGAGCGGCTGGGTCCGTGAGCCATGGCTGCTGAGCCTGCGCGTCCGGAGCACAGGCTCCGCAACGGGAGAGGCCACAGCAGTGAGAGGCCCACGTACCGCAAGGAAAAAAAAAAAAAAGGAGAGGAATTCTGACACATGTTACCACATGGATGAACCTTGAGGACATTATGCTAAGTGAAATAAGCCAGTCACAGAAGGACAAATCCTGTATCATCCCACTTATATGAGGTACCTAGAGTAGCCCAATTCATAGCAACAGAAACGGTGCTTGCCAGGGGCTGGGGCAAGAGGGAAATGGAGATTTGTTCTTTAATGGGTATAGAGTTTTAGTTCTGCAAAATCAAAAAGTTCTGGAGACTGGCTGCACAACAATGTGAATATATTTAGTACTACTGAACTGTACACTTAAAACAGGATAGTAAATTTCATGTTACGTGTCTTTTTACAATAAAAAATTATAAGAACAGGAAAATCAAGTGCCTGTCCCTTACTTCCTCTAGTACCATGTGGCCATGATCTAAAATATGAGATCAAGAACCATGCAGGGAAGAAGCTGCAAAGCAGTTCATAATGTTTATGGCTGCTTGCCCCCAACAAGCAAGTCATAATTTGACT